CCCCCCAGCTGCTCTGAGGGCCCCCGGCACCTGGCTCACCACAGCAAAGACCCCATCGACAGGGAGTTGGGAGACCCGAGAAGGAACTGTTCCTGCTCCTTTGGACGGGCCGCCTGCTAGGTTGTGAGTGCCGTGATGGGCCCTGTCTCCGCCAGCCCACAATGGGGTCGGCCACCTTCTCTGGCCCTGGGGTGTGGGCCTGGGACCTTCACCGTCGCCCTGAGCTCCGTGCTGGGGTGCGGGCACAGGACTGACTAGCACCTGCACTTCTTGGGCCTCGGGGAGCCTCAAGCTGAGCACGTGGTACCACTCGTGTCAGCCACTGCCACGTAACAAACATCCTAACTGCAGTGACCTAAAGGCCAGGCCTTCACTGCCTCAGGGTTTCTGTGGGTGGACATTTGCAAGTGACTTAGCCGGGTGGCTCCTGTGGTTTGATGTCTGAAGGTCAGACCCAGGCTGGAGGACCCGCCACCTAGGTGGTGTCCCCACAGCTGCGGGCTGTTGCTTGGTCACTCTCCTGACATGGTGGCTCACCTTACTCCTCTGGGGAGAGAGCGAGGAGAAAGTCACACCGAGTTCTCATTAGGAGTGGGTTTCTGGGGACCAGCAGATGGCATAATGGTCACCTCACTGGACTCCCACGTTGTCGACCATGGTTTGAGTCCCAGACATGTCAACTTAGAAACATGCCAGGCACACGTGTGTGCATCCCCAGAATCCCGGGAGGAGAAGGGATGTGGCATGGCCCTCCCAGGGGGTGATTTCTCACTTCCTGTCTCTGGCGCGTGCACGTGCCCTAGCAAAAAATCTCTCTTTAAAAACATGTAAAAAGTGGGTCTCTGGGTTGGCCTGCACGTGAGCTGTGGTACCCCAGGTGGGTGGGACAGCCCCAGCAGCGTGGGTCCTGGCATGCCGAGGCAGCATGGCCTGGACGCCCTGTGCCCACCTGCCAGGACCCGTGTGCCCAGTTGGCTGCGTCTGGTAGCGAGGTAGCCCGGTGTGTGTCCGGCAGGCCCGGGAACCCCTCACGTAGATGGGGCCCCATCCTCGCAGGACTGACCACCAGAGGGCGACTGCCGTAGTCCCCACATTACTGATGGGGACACCCAGACCTGGGGAGGGAACCTAACTCTGAGGTCCCAGAGGGAGCTGGGCAGGGCTGGCCACTTCCGGCCCCTGAGGGAAGCTCTGGGCAGTAG